TGGCTCGCGTTGAATATCTAGCTGATTTATGTTGGAATAAAACAGCAATTGTTGGCGAGTTTCAAAACAAATGCTTGCAGGCCTTTGATAGCCACGTGCGTCGGCATACATCCTCTCTCGAGATAGAGAAAGCGTCCCTGAAAGTATCACAGCGATTTGAGAAGGTTGCAAAAATCTCGATTTGGGATCGACAAACCTCACGCCCGCCGTAGCGGTGCATGGCCAAAATGTAGAAAATGTTGGAGAATGCTGGGATTATTTTCAACGGCCCACTACAAGTCGCCGCTCCCACCACATGTCAAATGGCGATACACGACCCGAACTTTGGCCGGCTTTGTACAAGCCAAGGACGCTTCGGATGTCACTACGGGTCGCGGGCTTGCGTGCCGCCTTGCGATGAGTTGTCGCGTGGACATGATTTGCATGTTTATGCCATGCCCGTGAGCCTATCCTACGACGTATCTTGTGGTAACAAGAGTGGCTTACGCCTGTGCACCCGTTGCCCGTGCCGCGCCTGGGTTCGTTTCGCAGGACCCACAGCACTGCGCGATCGGGGCCTTGGCCACCGGCGAGTCCATTCCGAGTTGCAGCAGCAAGTGCGGCGCTATCTCAACGAGCATCTTGAGCGCCGCCGTGAGGAACATTTCTATCTTGGACTGCGAGATAAAGCCGTTCGAGTCAAAGAGCAAGGAGGCCGCGGTCACCTTTTCTTTGGACGAGCCCTACACACTAACATTTTGTAAGGGCACTAGGACATGAGTGGGAGGCTGGCCGCGAGCTCTTTCGTGTCGGCGCTACTGTTGCCATTGGCGTCAAAGAGCACAAAGAGACGGTCGAGCGTGACATTGACCGACGCTTTCGGCGAGGCCGTTGTCTTGCTCAAGAGATTGTCGAAGCAGCGAAAAAGCTGCGCTTTTGTCAAGACACCATTCTCCTCGGCCGACGTTGCGAAAAACGATGTCGTAGACCGCGTACTGTCCGAGGCGCGTGAGCTCGCGCGCCGCAAAGCAGCGACTGTTCGCGCGTAAGAGGCGCGAGGCGCCGAGTAGTACCACAACGTACACTCATCGTAGCTGAGCTTGCCATCAGGTTGGCGTCGTACTGCACGAGCGCAACATGGGCGGTAAATTCGGCAAGCTTATTGGGCGCAAGGGGCAGTATGGACAAAAAGGCAGCGAGGACGCTGAAGACTGCTGTGAGGTAACATCTCGGGGTACGAGATGATCTTGTCCTTGTTGACGTCGTACAAGGCAAACGCTGCTCGAGGCGCGCGCAAACCATAGCAACATGCTGCGCGAGCGCTTTTTGTACCTTCAGGGAAAATGTCCTAATTGAAGGGATGTGTGCCGAAAGAAGGACCTCGACCACACGAGTTTCAACGTCCACAGTCGACAGGGCGCCCGCTTGCGACCACCCTGTCGTACGACCGAGGCCCGAGAGCTCGAATTGCAGACTATCTCGAGACGTGCGCCCCTGTGAAAGGCGGCTTGTGATTGGTCACAAGGATTGCAATCGGACCAATGAAACGCATCCATTCCAGATCGATCATGTGATGACCGATGATGCGCAGGGTGAGCGCCTTCGCGGTCCACGTCGCCTTTCATAAGCTTGAGCTTGGAGAGCACGTGTTGACAGTACTCGACGAGGGCCTCCGCGAGCGTCTCGGGGCACGTGGCTACCTCGCAACAACAAAAGCGCACAAAACTTGGTGTTGATGTTGGCGATGAGCGCAATGCTATGGTCAAGCGATGACGCTCGGTGCTGTGCGGTTGCCGATCTTGCGAGTTCAACGACCAACGCATGCACATCGTTCGCCGAAGGAAACGTCACGTCAGTCAAGCGCCTCCAAGCTTGAGGACATGTGGGTTCGTGTCGCGGGTGAGCGCCACGAGCGCCGAGACGAACTTCAAGGAGACTGTCGCTCGTCGACGTCACTTTACTGTGAGCTCGGCAATCGACGTGTCGATGCGCGGCAGGAGCACAATGGGGTCGACAACGGCCGAAATACCACACGCAGGCTCGGACGCACTCGTGTTCTTGAGTGCCTTGCCAAACGCCAACTGCAGCGGCGACAAGACGAGCTGCAGCGCCGCCTTTGACGAGCAAGATCTCAAACGTCGAGAGGTTCGTAGACTTGACGTGGCTCATAAAGCAGTCGCAAGAGCGAAACAATGGAGCGGGATGTTGAAGAGAAACGCGCCTACAACGTGATCCTTTTGAGCCTATCGGCGTGGAAATGGAAGAGAACCGTCTGCAGCCCGTTGATCGCGCAGTTGCCCAACGCTTCGACCATGGGAATCGCCTGGAGGGCCAAGCCCTTGACGAAAACGAGGCGACAGACCTTACGCGGGTCGAGCATCTACATGGCTTAATTTCGAACACGACCGAGTGAACATTCGTGTGCGAGGAGCAGTGCATATCTGCCACTTAAGCGACGCAGGATGTCGGCGCACGCATCATGCACGCTTGGTCGGGCGGATGGTCGCCTTCTTCTTGATCGCGAGCTGGCGGACGAGCGACGTGTGGATCGTGTGCCACCAATGTGCGAGGGATCTGGAGGAGCGCGTGGATCTAGCCGTACATAAAGATATGCGTCAAGTCGATCGCTTGCATCTAGCCGTATGTAAAGATATTCGTCAAGTCGATCGCTTGCTTGGACGTACGCAGGCGCAGTGGGTCGTCGACGGCAGAAAGTCTGGACGCGCATGTGCCTTGAACGCCGCCCAACGCTAGGATCCGACCCATTCGACCTATTGAGCTGCATAGGGAACCATATGCAGCTCAATGCCGCCGGATCTCCGGTACCGGTACCCTGCACTCTGCGCGCATGCCAGCGGTCGCCTGTGGCGCAGCGGCTAGGGCGTCGTCGTTTTAGCCGTGGTTGGCGTCGCGGCCTCGTGCGCCTGGTCGAGGACTGAGCGCTGGGCCCGAGCGGAGCAACAGGTTGGATGACGAGTTGCCTGCGCGAACGGCATCTCGTCGGCACGCTGCCTCACTAGTCTGGGGGTTCTGACGCTCGACAGGCGCCAGTAGTGGGACGGACCAAAGCCCGAACGACTCACCTGAGATGGACGACACGGCAGTACTCCAGCCGTCCCATGCTTTCCGGGCCTGGATGGAAAATTGAATCCGCGGCCAGAGTTTGGCCTGGCTGGCTTCGGATCTAAAAACACCCAAATGCTACCTTTGCATAGGGTTTCCGGTGGGCAATGCTCCGTGTATCGTCTCACCGGCCAACACGCTAACACAACAAGGGTATATTCGTGGCATTGACAGCTCTGTGGTGCGCAGGAGATTCCACGGACACTCGGTGCTAGGTCATAAACTGAGGTAGGTGTAGGTTTAATCAAGAAGGGAGCTTCTTGGTAGGTTTCGCCGCCTATCATGGCTCATCACTGTCCACCGTTTGTCACTCGGCGTGTGGGGTTTTGCATGCGTCGCCTCAAGGGATTAGCCCTCGGCGATGACGTTTTCCCCACACACTAGACCAGCGAGAGCCGACTCGCACACCCACAGCTAACCGGTTAGCTGAAC